ATATTATATACATCGGGTAGCGACAATAGGAGCCAAAAAACAGAGAGAGAGAATATGTATAGCAAAAGAACATTTGCCAGGTCAGTTAGTAATGTATATTCCTATTTTATGGTATTTGGAACCTTTGACCGCATTTCAAGCTTATCCTGTCAAATAAATAATCTAGATAAGCTTCTATTAAACCGCTATTTGATTTATAATGATAAGAGTTTTACAGCCCTTTGTTTAAAATGATGGAAATGAATATTACATGGTAGAATTACGAGAGCGTCCGCAGAGGTCATTATGTCAGGAAGTGGCTTGAGTGTTTTAATTGATGGACATGAGTATGGATTTGGGAGGCTTTTAAAGGTTGTTTTTATTTTACAAAAATAAGATCAAAGAACAAAAAAGTCTGTCGTTGTTGAAAGCAAAATATTGTTTTCGTCTGTTTTTAGTAGTTAATTAGGTAGTTTGATTGCAGTATTTATGAAAGAGTAAAAACTTGCCATGCGTTAAAAATATTTTTATTTTATCCCTCAAATAAAGGGCGCAATTTAAAAAACGTATTTTTATCAAGAAAAAAAGGTACGCAGCAGATTTTGAATAAAAAAAATTCTAGTTTGATTTCATTGATAACAAGAAACATTCATTATATTAAAATAATATAATATCTTTGAATGTAAATGGTGTAAGGCTTAATTCTTCGAGTAATCGAGGAGTCAACATCTTGTACTGTTAGTTAACTAATATACTTCACGTTTTCTGTTAAAATGATTTATTTAAAGTACTCATTCGTCTTAATAAATGAAAACACCGTTTTGTACCTCAACATTATTTAAATACACAATGTTAGAATCAAAATGATGCCGAGTTTCTTTGAAGAGTGTTTTGTGCGGAATAAATCCACTTTTTGTTCTGAAACACCTCGCTTTTGTAATATGTTATACCACTGAGACTGGAGTGTAACCGTACACAAAGCAACAAACAACACTTATGTTACAGATAATGTTACCTCAATTAGACGTATGTACGTATAGCCTAAATGCGCTATTGTTAGTAATATATTTTTGATGTATAACACAAAAATACTAATAAAAATATATTAATAGTCTGGTACGACTAACCAGCCAGCTAAAACTTGACATTCAAATGTGACTAAGATCGTAGTTCTTACTAATAAAATCTCTTATTAATTGTATACGCACACATACTCTAATATTTTACACACTTTATAAAAAGTACTATGTGTAGTTTACGCGAGTAATACATATTTAAATAAAACCTTTTTTGGGTTTAAAATGCGAAATGTACTTTATTGAATTTTATTTTAACTAATGTAATCAATACAGTTTTTAGGAATGTCTGCGCATTTAAAGTAATTTGCGTACTCGAATGGAATGTTGACTGAGCCATTTTCTGACCTAAGCTTTTAGGTCACTGTAGGTGTGCCGTAGGACGAAACTAACTTCAATTAGTTCGGCCAACTCGCACAACTTCGCCTTAAATAAAGAAAATTTAATTAAACTGTTTTGTGACAAGCTTTTTACTGGAATTCTGAAGGGTTCGCATTTTCACGCTTTTCGATTTCGAAATTTTTTAGAAACGCAAAAAAATTAAATCTCGAGTTTAACGGTAACACAATAAAACCGGTATATTGAGTACACACACAGCTAACTTGTACATGATAAAATACATCAAACTCAGAAATGTATTTCTCGCTAATGTACATATCGCATATTATACACTCATATGAAAAAATAAATAAAATATGTTACAATTAACACACACACACACACATATATATATATAAGTATATACTTTGCTGTAAGGATATCACTTAGTTGTTGCTGCAAAAACAGAGTTGCTGCAGTACTGCAGTTTATACCGCATGGAGGACACTTAGACTGGCGTTAGAAACGAAGACAAGGAAAATTAATCTAAGTAATTAGTATTGAAATGAAAAAAGGGAAAACTATAAAATATGACAAGTAAATATTTGTAGCTGGTACCCTGTTGCCTGTCATATGGTGACAGTGGATCTTGTTTTATGGTCCTATGGCTTATTTCATCATTCCATACTTCTCTGTATAGTTACATATATATACTGTAACACAGAGTTACAAGAACAAAAATATCTCCAGAGTTGGAAATATCGAATTTCCAAGATTTAATATAAATTAGATTTATTAAGAATCACAACAAGATCCGCGATGAAATTGAGACTCGTCAAAATCGAATTTTTCTTCATTTGGGAAAGTCTTGCGAGAAATATTCAATTTGTTTAGTCTGAAGGCTACTAATTTTGACGAATTAATTTCACGAAATCCACTTTTGATTGGCGAAATAAGCGCCACTGATTCTTCCTATCTCGGGACAAATTAATTTTGTTTCAGATATTAGTCATAAAGTCGTATTAGTTAAATAAATACATTTAGGTAGAAAAGGATTTTAAACTAGTAGCAAATGTTAATTTAGTTTTTACCTAACGTGACTAAATGATTTTTTACTTTTTGAAACACAACAAAAAAAAACGATAGAATTTCAAGACATATTGTGTATTGTAACGTATTAAATACTGTCTATAGTTTACGCGAGTAGTACACATTTATTCTAAAACAAGTTAGTATTCTAAAACAATTGCATTATTTGTTTGTCTTGTCACGGTTTCAGCGGCATTGTTTAACTTAGGTATATAGATTTTATAACAGAAAAAACCGAACGCAAATACATTTACGTGTGTTTTTATTTGAGTAAAGAAATGAACTTACGCCCATTTACGTTGTGAATTTTTCTTTAACGGTTCGCGTTCCATTTCGATAAGTTAAAAGGGTTGGGTCGGTCCCTGGGGTCGGAATAGCCGCAGACACTGGACAAATGTGACGAGCAAAAACTCGTAACTCGTCATTAAAACGTGACTTGCTCCGCGCGTGATCGCCGAAACTATTTTATGTTTTTGCCTGGCACGGATAATGTGTTGTTGGCTTTTATTTACATTATTGGTATATTAATAAGTTTTCTATACTTGTACTTCTAACGTGCTCATTCATATTTGTTTTAAGTATTTTATGTTATTAAAATAATCGACAAGTGACTGAAATTGAAGAAGGATATAAAAATAATACTATAATTAGGTTTGAAGCCCGCCAATTGTTCTTTAAAATATATTTTTGGAAAGATATTTTAGATCGCGTATCGTCGCGAATAGTACACATTTATATAAAACACTATTAACGGTTTAAAACGCGATATATATTAGGTAGCATATTTTAAATACACACGATTTACAGCAAAATCTAATAATAAGTCACCTTATATATTTCACGTTTTAAACCGTTAAAAGTTTTTCATTGAAACGTAAGCTATCCGCGTAAGCTCTACATAGTAACTAAATACTGGCAGTAGTTTTAAGTGCACATAAAGACTGTCATGGAACTTTGTCCTAACAAAATCACCGGGAATACATTATTAACAAAACCATACATTTTATACGCCGAAAGTATAAATTAACTCCCCTGTTGCCAAGGATGCTGGTGGGGAAGATAAGAATGTACCTGTTTGCTGGTTTTGTGATATCTGCTAGATTTGCACCAACACACTTAACTCTCCACTTTATAATATCTAAAATATTTGATTTAACAGACATACACTTTTTACAGATGACATGATAACAGACTGCTGAAGCGCTCGCGCATTGCGCGGGGTTGAGTTGTCTATGGCTGTATAGTATATAATGCCTCCTTTACTCCATATTTGTAGAAAATGTAAACAAACATTTTTCCCCTAAATTACTACCAAAAAGCGCACGATCATGGTCGTATTATTTGGCACTATTCAACTACACATTTTTAAAATTAATATTTGTGTTTTGACAAGAATTTTTAATATTAAAATAATATCACGAAAATCGTCATTGTCATTGTTACATATTATCTGTGACAAGACAGTGTTGTAGTGTATAGGTAATCGATTTATATTGAAAGTTTTATGAAAATCAATAATCGATTTATTATATTGACATAGAAGTGAAAGATTTTTTATGAGTTTGTGAAATTGAATAAAAATCTTTATGGACATTACTATGCCACAAAACTGGATGTATATCACTACATTGTTTATCTCTTACAAAATCAGTTGGGACAGAGTATAGGTGCGGTCAGATGTAAAGCCTTCAAAATTAACCGACGTTAATAATAAATAAACTTATTTTCTATTTTAAACCGTTAAAAGTGCCTGAAAATTTCACTAGTTACAATTTATTACGACTCGTATAATGATAGGCTCATAAAACCGTATATTATAGGAAAAAGCTATCAACAAATTAATTAAAGCAATAACACCGCGCCCTATGTAATGAAAATGGACATTCGTATGTAATTTTCTTTTATTCGGCTGTTCACAGGTCAACCACATTATTTGTTATTTCAATTAGCTTAAAAGGAAATTATCATATACATAGATTGGCAGTGATTACTTGTAAAATAACTATTTTTTTATAATAGAGGAAGACTGACAGGCAAAGTATTCACTTAATGGAATTGAAACATCTCAAGAAGATGCGCTGTCGCCCTGTATTTTGGATATTCGTCAAGCCACAGACTAAAACAATTACGCGATTAAACTTGACGGCTTTTTTATCTGTGGACGGTGGTTCGTGACCCGGACGGAATTTCGATCTAACTTCTTAATTTTATTAGGAATCAGGGACCATGTAAACAGCTTGAAATTCGAACCTTGAATACATGTAAAATAATGTTTATTATTGTTAAATACTGTCTATAGTTTACGCGAGTAGTACACATTTAAATAAAACACTTTAACGGTTTAAAACGCGATATATTGGGAGACTCCCCGTCTCCCCGTGACCACGGCTGCTGCAAAGCATCCGAAACGTCGGGCCGAAGTTAAAAATCATTTTCAAATAAGTTTAACCAATATATCGCGTTTTAAACCGTTAAGGTGTTTTATTTAAATTTATTATTGTTTACAGAGTGCCTGCTGAGCGGGTAGGATGCGGCGGCATGCACCGTGCCGTGTTGCTCATGGGCCTGTTGACTAGCGCGGCCGCTGAGCCGACCACTACCCCAGGTATACCACACTCCATATATTCTCCATAGAGTTTAGCAAGAGGCTCTAAGTTTAGTTTAGTTAAAATGAGGCTAAAATGTTGACAACCTGTTTGTGTCCTTGTCTTCAAGGAACTGCAGGAAAGAGACAACGAATTACTTATTTATTACGTTGATATTGATTCAATCTATTGATACTTACTTTATAATTGCATATAGTATGATATTGCATAAGTAAGTATTGCTAATAATTTTAAATATTAAGTTCTGCCTGTAGTTTATGCGAGTAGTACAACGTAAGATGTATAGTTAACTTATTTACAATATATAATAACAACAACCTGACGTTTTAGATGCTTTACAGCAGCCGTGGTCACAGGGTGACTTAGTTTAAATATATTGTAAATAAGTTAACAACATATCTCACATTTTAAACCATTAAATTAAAAATGTTTTGTTAAAATTGTATACATTGTATTGAATACGATATTATGACTTTGATTGATTGACTTTAGTGGTAGTTTTGCAAATTTTGCTCTGGTTTTGAAGCTGTTTTACTGATGATGACTGACGATAGAACGTCTTTGCCTAATCGAGAAAAAAAATTGTTCCAGAAGTACTAACAACAGAAGCCATAACATTGAAAACTCTAGCGCCCACAGTATTTCGTAGCATGATGACAAACAGACCACGATCGGGATCCCGTCGAAAGTCAGGGTCGCCGATGTTGAACTATATTTTCGACTCCTACGCAACAAGTAAACAACATTTTCACGATAAGTAAGTATAAAATTAGTTATTTATTGTATAAAGCGAATTTAATAGTTAAAAGTATAAAGCTACATAACAATTCGGGGTTTACCTTCATTATAACAAGGACAGACGACCATGAGCTTTATCTATACTATATCATGAAGCTTAAGAGATTGTTTGTTTGATCGCGCTAACCTCAGAAACTACAGGTTCGATATGAAATGTACGCGAAGAACTTTTTCACACGGATGAAGTCGCGGGCGCAGCTAGTTATATAATTCAGTTATATAACATCTAAACAAGATGCGTTGTCGGCCTATTTTGGCATTAAATGTTCGGAGATATAACGACTGAAAATCAAGCGTAGGTTTACAACACTTAGGTATAGATTTCTCTATCACCCATTTAACATCTAAATTTTCCAGGAGTATGTTAAAGGAAATTGTTAAATTGATTTTAAAATATATTAGTCCTGGGAACCAAAGTGTACTGGACCAAAAAATATGCCTTGTTTCGTTTATTTAAAGAATATAACGATCAAGTGAGTCACGTTCTTGAAACTCGGAACATCAGTACCTGCATTATCTCATTTACCGGTTAAATGGAGAGTTCTACCGTATGCCACAGAGTGTATGTTAGACTAACACGAATGTATTAATCCGGTTTTTTATAATAGTTGTAAACAGACAAGCATATGGTTCACTTGATGATATGTGACACACCCCAACCATATAACATCTTAACAAGATGTGCTGTCGGCCTATTAGAATAGAGACAGGATATTCAGAAATCTACAGACTGAAACTGAAACGGAATAAAACACACTTTCATCTGTGGACTGTGGTTTGTGACTCGGACGGATTTTCGATATTCTTACCGATTGGGATTGATTATTAGCCACTCATTATTACTATTAGACCAACGAGTCTAAAACTAAGATTAACGATTTAACTCTTTATTACGCAACAAACTGTGTTGTGTTGAGTAATAAAGAAAGATTACAATGTTATTATTATGTTGTTACATAAGAGATATAAACTTTTGTGTGTAAAGGCGATAATCGGCGATAATCGACGGTTCTGTAGTCCCCACCAGGTCTATTAGGTTTCTAAGCATGTATAATTTTTCTGAAATATTTTGAACTTCGTATAGAAATCTAGATATTAAATGATTAATATGATTATTTCAAATTCTGTGCGGATTATAAATAAACATCCACAGCTAAAAAAAGCCCTTACATTAGATATATGGCTAGGGTATTTCATTTTCCATCAGTGGAAGCCCATGCTGCTTGTCTGTCTTTCTAGATAAAAAAAAATATATTTTTCACAAAGTCGTGTAACAATTCTAATAGCAGTCGAGCGCATTTGAAAACTTCCCAAACAAGACATTTTAAAAACTAATTCGCGAGTTTTCAAAGCTTCTATACGTTCGGAGTGCGCCCACGTACCCCTTTGTTCCTTCCACTTACATAACGGTGTAACAGACGGTAAATTAATTTGTATCCATGTCACGTTTGCAAAGTTTCCTGTTTGAATAAAACAGAGCTCGTTTCAGTTTTACGCTGAAAAATATTTCGCGTGCGAATTCACGAGTGTATTTTATAAATTTCACAATTTACATTAAAACGGGGGATTGTGTACAGATCAATGGAACATTTACATTTTAATCCCCAGAGAATAATATACAAGTGATATCGAATTACTTTAGTTTATCTTATTAGTTATGTTTATGTATGAGGCTGCTAGAGACCCTAATAAAAAAAAAACACGAGGAAGATAAAAATACGCAATTAACTTAGGCAAAAATGAATTGTGTTACCAATTTTCGGTCACCGTGCTCTTGTAAATTAACATTTAGACTATAAACATATAAATAAGCCAAGTCGTAAAATTGCTGTTAGGCTACGCTGCCTTTAGTGACCTTTATAGCCTTACAAAGCAACTATATATTATCCTTCAAATCATTTTATGAGAAAAGACATACAAGCAGGATTCTTAATGAAAAGTAGAAAACCCCAGCCGTATCATGTGATACAACTGGGCCAAAAACAGGTCGACAGTCTATCTTGTTTAGATGTCTAAACAAGATAGGCGGTCGACCTGTTTTTGGCCTTGACACTATACGTGGTCCTTTTACAATTTTTCAATTATATAAGTAATTAGAGCAACTACTAAAGCTCTTTGTTATGCAATGTCTGACATTGTGTTAAGTAGGAGTCCTAAGTTCGAACCTATATGAATTTTATAAACAGTTCAAAGGATAAATAAAAACTAATCAACTGCTCGCCTTTACTTAAATACAGTAAAACAAGCACAGAAATGTATGCCCCATGCCCCATTAACTAACGTACCGTTACTGAAATTTAAAACATATAAGTAGCTGTGCCAGTGCCAATAACTATTCGCCCAACTAACTGTTAGTTGGGAGATTTGTTATTTTGGCCTTCAAAATTATTTTGTTGCAAAACTTGCTTTCGTTCTTGCAAGTTGATCTTAAAAGATAGACATATACTGTCGTGGTCATTTTTTAGATCTTTAATAAATATTTTCAAATTATTACATATTGAATATAATTATACTTTTTGACCTTTTGGCTAGAATCACAGTTAATTTTCAGAAGGCAATTATCTTAGTTTCATGTTCATATTAGTATTATTAGTCTATTAATATGCAATGGATCAGCCTGACATATCTTCAGACTACAGTAAGCCTATGCAAGCAAGTTGATGAATACATTATACAATTATAAGCTAAGAGGTAATTAGTAGTGTATGAATAGGAAATTGAATTATTTATAGGAAATGATAAAAGAAAAGAGTTGAAATTACTAGGCTTACTAATAAATTTTACAGAGAAGAAAATTAGAAACATGTATCTAAGATCGAGAATATAATTGTTTTAAGACGAATCTTAAGCCATTCTATTTACCAAATAGATCACTGTTAGCCTAAACTCGGTTGATATTTCAAATGCTAAATTTTCGATTGCTATTAAAGAAATGAATAGATTTCCTAGAAAATGTGTCTAATATAATTTACTTAAATAATTTTGTGCGGTCTTAGGAATTACATACCTGTGTAGATTTCCTAGAAACGGTACACAATGAGGGATTTCATAGAATTCTGGTAACATATTATGTATATATTAGTTACTCCCCTACCACGCCTCTTAGCCAAATGATTAAACGTAATGCATTGCGTCAAGCACAAGAGGTCCTGGGTTCGAATCCCAGGGAAACAAAACATTGTTTGGGTCGGGCAGGGCACAGAAGTCTGATCAACTACTAGCCTATTAAAGAAGGGATCAGTGAAACGGACACAAAAGTGTGTTCCAAGCAATAAAATAAAATATACTTTATTCTCTTTAAATTTTTAAAACTTATTAGATTCAAATTTGTATGTTTGTAAGTCTGTTTGTCGTGATTCTACAGACTGTTTAAAAAAGCAACATAAGCAGTTCGCCCCATGTCTCACGAGGGGAAAACGGGATATCACTTTTTTACCCCTACCACGACTGCTTCATCCAAAACGTCGGGCGTAGTTAAAAGCCGTTATCAAAAAGCAATCTGTCAATAAGAACTAATACTATTTTGTGCCTACAAGCCGTTCAATAGCATGTTTTGTCTTTTGTGCTTTACTTTGTAATTAAAAAAAGGTCTGATGACACAATATCTTGCAACTCCGATTTTAGCATACGTGATTAGCACGCACAGTGGGCACGAGGGTGGCAACCCTCACTAAATAATTGCTATTGGCAACCCTAAATACGTGTTTAATTGGAGCTCCCTCAGCGAACGGCCAGTAATCTAATGGTAAACAAATGTAACATGCAGTCCTGTTGTTACGTGACGTACATACATACAGTGTGATTAGAATTCCAGTTATGTCTATACTAATAAAAGCTGAAGAGTTTGTTTGAACGCCTTAATCTCAGGAACTACTAGTGCCAATTAAAAAGTTATTATTGTATTGGATAACCATTTATCGAGGAAGGTTAAAGGCTATACACATCGCGCTGGAGCAAAGATACAGTGGGGAATATGAAAAATGGGGAACAATTAATTATTCAGCTTTGAGGGTATCCGTTGCGTTCGCTGCGAAAACATTTCAAAATACTATCTACAAGTATCAAAGAATGATTTCTCATTGAATAATCTAAAAAAATGTCCCAGATAGTATATGTCCATGTTTTAAGATAAAATCGCAAGAACGACGAGACGGGACGCGGCCGCGCGCCGTGGGTTGCTTGGTATACTGTTACGGTTAATAGTATTTTAGGCTGGATTCGAACTAACGATGTTGACTTTGTATTACATAGTTTTTTAGCTTTGAACAAATAATTATAAAGATGTTAGTTATTCTTATTGCCTACATTGTTTTAAAATTTCTCAAAACTTTTGTTCTCTTGCGTATTTACATAAGAAAAATTAGATATTGTAGATAGTACTCTACCAAGGTACTTAAATCTTACCTCGTAAAAACGTAAATTTAAGCATTTACAATTATTACCACACGTTTCGAATGCAACGCCGCAAAATTCTGGCTAAAATACTACTTATAAGGAATTCAATATTTATGGCTAATTAAAAACAATTCTTTAACGTAAATATAGTGGGGATTCCGGCAACACGCGAACGCCCGGGGACCTAGTAATGGCGTTGAAATGTTTTTTGGTGCATTTTTTAAACGCACTAAATACTTCTGGCAAACGTACAGCCGGGGCAGATTGTACATTTAACAAATTATAGATAAATGTATATTCAATATAAAGTCGTAAAGAAACACAATATAAAATAAAGCAGATTTGTATTCAAGTATTGTATTTCGCGTAACAAACCGTTCAAAGTGAATTAATTAAAAAATATCTCTGTAGTTCACGCGAGTATAACACATATAAATAAACACTTTTATCTGTTTACAACTATAAATATATTAATTAACCTATTTACAATTTATTTTACCTAAAGCCGACGATTAGTATGCTTTGTAGCTGTTGTGGTCGCGAGGGGAACTGAAATGGGAGGGTGTCCCTAATGTCAAATCTAACGCTAGCGCTATCGTAGCAAATTAATTGACCACGGTTTCTGCAAAGCGTCCGAAATGGTTGACCATAGTTAATAAATTGTATATAAGTTTACTAATATATTCTCCGTTAAAAAAGATAACTTTACGAAATACGTAAATTGTATCTATTACGCCAATAATATTATGTTACGCGTATGAAACTGTTGAAGGTGTTTTGTTTTAAATACTAATACTATTTGCCACTATTATGTTCCACTGACAATGCTGAACTAGGAAAAAAAGTCAACTAAAAAAGGAAAAACTTTCTCGGGAAAATTCGTATATATATTTAATATCTAAGTATATAATATGTTTGATATTATCAAGGCAAAGCAGTGTTCGATACAAACGATTAAATTAAACACTTCTCTACCAAACTCAAACGCTGTTCAACTGTAGATTTAGCTCATATCGCCAAAAGAAACAAGAGTTTGTTCACGACTGTACACCGCACGAATCCGGAATAATTCCACCAAAACAGCCGCCTTTGTTTCAGTTTTAAAGCCCCGTCCTTTGAAGGGGACCTGAACTCAGAGTCACTTATGGACGCTGACACCGGTGCGACGGTACTCTTTGATTGCAAAGTGTCCTCACTGAGAGACAAGACGGTATGTATTGAATATTCAATGCCTTATTTCAGCATTCCCTAGTTAGTACGGGTGAATTGTCAAACAACTGCAAAAAGCCATTGTGTCGCATGAATATTTATACTGCATGGTACTGAGAATTATAAATTATATAGCCGGACATTCGTTTTAGAAATTTCCCCTTTTGGGTTCCGTAGTAAAAAAATATTAAATCTATCTGACTTACGGTGGTTGCAGCACCACCGCTGGTGACGGCTAAATTTATGTATTTTTGTTGCTGCTATAATTATTCTAATGATAGCGTGGTATGGTTGATAATCATGGGGTCGTGGGTTTGATCCCCACCGGGTCTTAGAGGGTTTAATCATCATTACAATTAATCCATAAAAAAAAACGCTTTTTTACTCAACACATAGACAAATAATCATATAGTATCAACCCGAAACTTATTCACAAACATACTGAATCCAACGAGTCGAACCTCCGACCCGTTCATTCGTCTCCCGGGGAAAACCTTTTTTATAGATACAATTAAAAGCCTTAACGAAGTTATCCGATACGACAAGTAACTAGAACACGTTAATAACTTCCACGTAAAATAAATACATTGTGAATTTGCCAGGTTTCTTGGTTGAGAGTATCTGATGATGAAAACTTGGAGCTGTTAACATTAAACCTCGTTACGTACACAGCTGATACGAGGTAAAATGAATTAATACTTTAAGATCATTACAGATGTATCGAACATTCCTTAGTTACATTAGTAAAGTCGACTGTCATTTTGATAAAACATGCGAAATCGTTTAAAATTGGAAAATAAATTGAAAAAAATTTCGACTCGGGCAAGACTTGAACCGGCATCGTCAGCGTTCCGCGCTGTTGCTCTCTGACGCTGCTGATGCCGGTTCAAGTCCTACCCGAGTCGAACATTTTTTCAATTTATTTTCGATTTTTAAATTATATAGTGCTTTCATATGCAATAACATGTAAAAATAATAATAAAGTTTTCAAATGCGAAATCATTTCTGTACCTGTTTTAAACCGTTTTTTTACAGGCAAGTAATTGATCAGACTTATGTGCCCTGCTCGATCAAAACTCGCTCTATTGTTCGAACCCAGGGACTCTCGCATTTGACGCAATGCGTACAACCATTTGGCTACATAGACGTCGAAAAGGCTGTCCAATATATATAAGAGAAAATAAATAAATAATTAAAATAACAATAAAATTCCACATTATTTTTGGTAAAACTGAGAGTGGGAAATTCTTTATTAATTATATTAAATAAAGCAACGCATTACTTGTGATGAGAAATATTAAGTCTTGTTATTTCATTTGGGCATAGAGAAGCCATGTTTCTATTTTTGTTATTTCCAACTTTTTTATAGTACGAAACCAAACATACCTCAAAAACTTGTTTCACTTCGTTTTTATCTTTTTATTTCACGCTTTAAGAACGTAGTAATATTTTTTTAAGTCATACATGTGATCTTAGGTACAAAGTAGACTTGGCTGAGGAAAATTGGAAACTATCGCTGTCTGACGCAAAGGTTCAAGATTCAGGAGTCTACTGGTGTCATGTGTCAACCCATCCGCCCATGTTGAGAAGATTCAAATTGCAAGTGCATGGTAAGTAAAAAATATGGTATTGCGTTTTCTACAGTATTATTCATTTACTGCTTTTCAAATATGTGGCTTTTCTATCGTCAGATAATTTCTTTAATAATAAAAACAGTTAACATTACTGTAAAATCTATAAACACAAAAAATCACTGAAAGAAACGAAAATGTAATTTAAGTAACAAAATCGGTATCACAGGTGCCACCTTTCTTTAAATGTTTAAAGATCGTATTTGTTTGTTAATTTTATAACGATATAAATAATTCTCGCGACATTTTGAAATGAAACGTATTAACGAACTTTTGAGAGTCTGTCAAATTGAATACAAAGCTGTATAAAAGTAGTAGAGTAAAAAAGGAACTAAAACATATTTATTGAACACTATTGTTTTTTAAGTGTTGGCATTAAACACGATGGCATTATATAAATTAAAGATCTAAATTTAAGAAAAAATGTATTATAATAAAAATAAATATAAAATAATAATGTAACCGTGGAAATTATATTGCGCAAGAGGTGTTGAAAAGCATCCGACCCAGACGTGTAGACGTGTCTGTAGCTTCATTGGCTACAGTAGCATCAAAAAATGCTGTGAATATCGGTTCGAATCCTGTCCATGTCGTGTTTTTTAAAAATATTAAAAAAGATTCTCAATTTACTAGAAAATAATAATATTAAATATTTAATGTCTATCTTTGGCCTGAGTCACTATAGAGAGTGGGATAATATATATATATATATATATATATATATATATATATATATATATATATATTATATATTATCCCACTCTCTATAGCTGTAGAAACTATATATATTCTTTAGTAAAATGCTGTTCAAGATAGCGATAGCAGAAAAAGCAATGTTTTAATTAGCCGTGGGTATATTTTGCTAACGTTCTTACCATTACAACATAAACTTTCATATTATCCTATACCGTCTTAAAAATACAAACTAAAATAGCAATCTATGCATCTTAATTGTAGATGGAAGCTCTGCAATATTATAACGCAATTAATATACAAAATGGAGGAATGCTCCGCTAGTCAAACAAGAACGCCTTAACTAGATAAGTTGCTTGTCTGTCTGTATATTTGCTAGATGGAATAGCTTCACTTTGTAATGAAACACAATTTTGAAGAATTAGAGATCTTCACTAAAATATATGCTTGGTCCATAGAGTCGTAAATTTCGAAAGCCATCTTAGTTAAGCTGAGGCATTTGAAGTTCCATAAATTGCCACTCTAAACATATATTGTTTCATTTCTTTAAAGTTCAGTACTTCATATAATAATTCAAGACAGTTACATCATTTAATTAAATAACTTTTAAAAATCGAATATAATTTATATTACGGGTATAGTACAGCCTAAAGTTACCTTCAAAATGAATGCTAAGAGACTTGAAATACTCCAAGTGTTACTTCTGATATAAATTAATTACTGTCGCCTTTATCACGATCGCAATATAACATAGTTAGACAATTAAAAACTCGTTCATTTAAAAATACATACATAATAACGAAGTAAGAAAAATTTTCTCTAAAAGTAATAAATTTCAATTACAACAAAGTACTTTAGAGCCACAGGTGTGCGTACGACTATCCATTGAATTATTAGGTTACCCTGCTTGTATAAGTAAGGCTATTTAAAGCACAGTGTACAATATATATTGTGAAATAAAACTTTTTTAACGGTTTGTAACGCAGAATACATCATTTTACTGATTTATAATATATTTTGAATACACCCCGATGCATCGAATGCTTTGCAATCGTTGTGGTGGAGGGGAGACATACATTCGCCTTTTAAACCGTTAAAAGTGTTTTATATAAATATGCACTACTGTTCACTTTAGATCTAATTTATTTGCTAGTAGACAAGACAAACTGTTCAAGTAAAATACAATGTTTTGTTAAGAAATTGATGTGTTTTTTATAAGGTCAAAAATATGACAAAAATCTAATAAGTGACTTGTACTCTTGTGTAATTAATTAAATAATTGTTTTAACAGAATTAGTTTATTATTTTATTTGATATATATATATATATATTTCCTTCTTGGTCATACGTATGTTTTTACAATACATAGTCTTTTATTCTCAACTGAAAATGTATTTGTGTTCATTAGTGAACTTAGTTTCTCCTTATATTTTTTAAATTACAAAACTTCTTCTAGCCCCAGAAATGAAGATGAGTAAAGAAACATTTCTTGAAACTGGAGAAACTCTGTCTCTCAAGTGCTCGATTCTTCACCTGAATCCGGGGGAAGTTACTCCGGAACTATATTGGTACAGAGGCAACAATTCTACACCGTTGGATGAGATACGAGGCGGAGTGTCTGTGGAAACAGATCAGTTGACTTTGACGAGTCATTTGCAGGTTCGTTTGAATTCAAATCCTAGTTTCGTCGATGAAGCCAAAGGCAAGGAGATTTTTATAGATTGAAAGTAAAAATAAAACTATGACTGTACTATGTTTCATTTTATAGCTCAATGGTCGGCGTCGCCTAGCATAGCGTTAAGCACGAGATCCTGAGTTCGAATCCTGGTTAACCATTTTCGGTTGGGCAGAATATAGAAGCCCGACCTGCTTCTAAATAATAAAATCGCTTGTGACGGACTAAAATATTTTTGGCCCATGCCCCAAATCCTTATATTTTCTGTATGAAAGCAAAAATACGGTGACGTTTTTCTTATGCGAATAAAACTCGTATTTTTATATCGAGTCTTAACTTTTATCGTATTGAGCTGTTGCGTTATAAAAATCCTTATAAACTTGTAAGCATGCGACGACCGATCGCTGATTAAAACTTATTTTATTACGCGTAGCATAAAACCGAATGGGCAATTTCCTACATCCATTGATTTTGATGGTCTTCTAATAGTATTAGGGCTGGAGGGATACATCCGATGTCAAAGGCGTAGGGGATGAATGCCTGTGTAAATGTACCCTTGTACGAGAAAAGTGTTCAGTGAAAGCACTTTTTGGAGTAGTAGGGTGGCGACCCTTCACTTTGTCCGGTCGGTTTGTTTCAGCTACAGTAAAATCCCGACATTAAAACATTTTTGAACGAATTTAATAGCGTAATAAATTATAATATATGCGTAATTAAAAATACAATTTTTATACTGAAAAGTTTGAAAAATGCACACCGTTAAAAAATATACATTTTCAGTGTTTCTATTCTTTAAGAGGTCCTTAAATATAAGTTGGTCCCCTAAAATATGACAATCTTCTTCTTCTTTCAGTCGTGCACTCAGCTTAGAGTGGTCGTGGTCTGTGATGATGATGTCGTAGTTCGTGGGGTGTCCTCGGTGTTCGAGCATGCTTTAAGGACTATCCTCCTCCATCTTTGACGGTCTTTTGCATCGCGGCTACACTGTTCAAGTGAAGATCCGGTGGTTGTGCTGATAAGATCGGCCCAGCGGGTAGGAGAACGACCACGTGAACGCTTTCCTTCAACTCTTCCTTGTATGACTAGTCTCTCCAGGGAATCCTCATTTCTAGAAATATGACCAAAGAACTTCAGAATGCGTGTCATTACGATCGAAGACAGTCTTTGCTGTATCTGGATTCCCGGAGAATAGAGTTATTGGTTCGAAAGAGTCCATGGTATTTTCAGAAGTCTTCTCCAGCACCACATTTCTATAGCATCAACCTTACGACGATCCTTCGCTCTGAGTGACCATGTTTCCGCGCCATATAGGAAAATTGGGAAGACTAAGCTGGATTAGGCGAACCTTAGTTTTTTCGTTATAATTCTTTCCATACTTTGCCCAAGCCTACTGCTGATCTAGTATGGTGATCGTCTCTTACTTCTTTCACATCCACCGACGTTCGAGATAGTAGATCCAAGGTATACGTAGCTTTGAACCACTTGACAGTTAGCGATGTTGTCAATTGCAGAGTATTGCCTGTCGGTTACTATCATTACTTTTGTTTTGTCCCTATTAATAGTAAGTCCGAATTGTAGACTGATTTTCTCAAGACGAATCAACAGATGCTCTAGGTCTTCCTTTGTCTGCGAAGAAGCGTAGTATCATCAGATACCTTAAGTTATTTATAGTCGACCCCCTATTGTGACTCCTTTCTTCCAATTCTCCAAGACATACGCATGAGGTATTCTGTGTAGATGTTAAAGAGTAAGGGGATAGTAGAACCCTGGCGGACACCTGACTGGGTTGTAAACTCATCGGAGTGGAAGTTGTCATACGCACCGTGGCTGTGTGTCATCATATAAGGCTTTTATGAGAGATATAGGTTTTAGGTATCCCATTTCTACCATGATTTCCCAAAGACGGTCCCAAATAACAGTGTCAAACGCCTTGCGGAAATCAACAAAGCATATGAAGACAGCGGTATTAAATTCTCTGATTTTCGATGATTGGCGTATTATGAGAATTTGTTCTTTGTGCCTTTTCCCTTCATATCTGTCTGTGAATTTGGGATTGAGGTAGTGTAATCTAGTATTGAGTATATGTAGTAACACTTTACTGGATGGATATTAAGGAAATGAGTTGTAGTTTGCATTTCTGTTGGTTTTGTGAGCGGTATGAAAATCGAGTGCGCCAATCCTTTGGCCACATCCCTGTTTCCCATACCGAGCGACATATGACGTACAAAAGGTCCACACCAGTCTCTCCCATACTTTTAAATACCTCAATTGGGATTTATCACTCCAACAGACTTATTTTTTTCAAGTACGTATAGCCCTGTATTCATCCGCAGTATTCCGGTTCGCGAGTTGAGAGCATTCAATAGTGACAGTGTTAATTGTTGGATCTTTCTCATAAAGAGTTTATGCAGTATCTTAGAATATAATCCGAATACCGTTGTACCGATGATCTACGTGTCTTGGGTTTGAATTGAGGTATTGAGACCTTCTCGTGAGATCTCTTGTTTGTAGATTGTCCGGTGTGTTAGTTTACATATAGTTGATAAGTATAAGTTGGGTCTTTGAATAGACAATCATTATTATAAATTTTCCTTCTTCAATTTGTTTATGTTACAATGTTAGCGCCATCTGTTGTTTGCAAAAACTATTAAAGCTAAATGAAAGATTAGTGAAAATTCTTGTCTCTGTGCAAAATGTCTACTCCAAACGGCAGGGGTAGTAAAATGTACAGAATTTGACCTTAATAATAAAGCACCGGTCGTACCGATCGTACGCCGTGGACGCAAACCGGCAATTACAGCTAATTAGAAACGCTAACTTATTGTTGAAGTATTTAGGTAATTATGATGGCACAGTACCTACATCGAATACCGTAACTGTTGGCGATTTATCACAGTAAAAATAGTCGTCGTCGTTCCTCCCCGCCCCCTAGATTCGGGACATATTTTCAGACATTTTATTTATAGCAAAAACATACTGAAGAATATTTTTAGCATTGTCAAAACGTTAAGTGGAACAGGTTAATTTACAATTCACAAACAAGCTCCAACAGTGAGAAGTGGGTCCAAGAAGATGATAATTATTTATTTAATTTTTATTATTGCTTTATTATTTATAAAACACACCACAGGAAATACATAATTAAGAGGAAACATCCTACGTATTAACTTAACAATTACTTTTGTGTTTAGTATAAAAACACTATAGCATACGCTCACAGCGATAACTGTGGCCCAACCAAGTATCACCCTATACCGTGTAATTTAAGCCCGCACTCATGCTAGTGTAGGTAATATATTTGTAGGGTTAAGTGGAGGCTTAACATTTTCTCTTATTTCACAAGTACGAAGTAGTTTTGGATACTTGTGAAATTTAGTACCGACTTTTACTGTAATGTAAAAACAAAGCTATTCAAACAAAAGGGCATTATTTAACCTTTTGTAAAAATACAAGTTATAAAGGCGTGTAGATATAATATTTTGCAATTTACGCATAATAATATATCGATGTATTTTCCTTAAAATTGCTTCTATTATTTTCTACAAATATAATTACAATACTTAGTTACCTTTGAGTTGATACGTCTAGTAAATTTGTTGTTACAAGCCATATAATTTAGTAGTTTAATCATCTAATAAAATTAAAATTAGCAAAACGTATTACTGAATTAATTTGTAATAAGTTTCAAACTCATAGAATGAAGCGCCTCATACTAACTCTATCAACTTATCTATACAAATTACATGCACAAAATTAAAATTTTTCCATGTTTCACCCTAAAACTTCTAGCGACAACGCACTGACAATAATTTTAATGAATACAAAAATACTTTTCACGTAGAAAAAAGTTATTCTGTTATACAGTCGCATCGCATTTTTACTTTTTACGCTTTCCACCTGCATGCTTTAAATTAAAAAGTCCGTACATAGAATGGGAAATACTGTATTTATAATGAAAATGTATGAAACGAAAGGTATATTTTAATCCTGATTTTAAATAAAGAATGAAATTATCTTTACACGTCACGATGTAGAGTGGTTTTCACTTTTCTTTCGACAACATTAGAATTAACATATATACGACAGATTATAAATTATAAACTATCTAAGATTCGATTCAGAGGCGGTCAGGCATGTACTTCTTTTAGATAATATTAAAATTCTTGTCATGTTACAATCAGTATTTAAAATTGTATGCAAAGATAAAGTTTAATTTCTAGATCAATTACAATAAGCCTAACAGATGCTACGGTTATTCGTAGCTTCTCGTAACTGCGCTACGAGATCCGTAGCAAATTGTAGCGACCGTAGCATCCTCAAATTGACTATTGTTTTGTTATATAACAAACATATCTTATGACATATAATATAGTACGAATTTATATGATATTTGTATATCCTTTTGCTTGTAGTGAAGAGAATCTCTTATTTTTATGAAGTAGAGATTTCTTTGTTTGTTGCATTGATAAATCATGTGTTGATCCGTAACAGTGTAAGTAAATAATATTTTATGCTCAACACGATTCAAAATATTTTGTTTCTCTAGCATTCGACCCCAGGTCGTCTGGTGTGAATCGATTGCGGCTCACTTGCGTTGTATACATAAACCTAAAAAACCTAAAAATAATCAAGTCTGTTATATTGATCTGAAATTGTAGAGATAATACATTTAAAATCATAAATGACATTGAATATGTTAAATACTGTATATAGTTTACGCGAGTAGTACACATTTAAATAAAACACTTTAACGGTTTAAAATGCGATATATTAGTTAAACTTATTTGAAAATGTCTCCCCGTGACCACGGCTGCTGCAAAGCATCCGAAACGTCGGGCCGAAGTTAAAAACCATTTTCAAATAAGTTTAACTAAGATATCGCGTTTTAAACCGTTAAAATGTTTTATTTAAATTGAATATGTTGATAAAACTTGTTTTAATCCACATATGAGCATATATTATTAATCACTATTTACGGATGATTAAGCAGAACTTGAAATAATAAAAAAGGAAAATTCTTAAAAGCAATATACAGAAAATGTGCTAAACGACCACTCAGCGGATAATCTTGCCCTATTGTATTCATAATGCGGTGAATAGCTCTTTTAAAATGTATAGAAAAAGTTTGGAGCCAACTTCAAAGCCCGACTCATTTTAGACAATATGCAGACAAGGCTGTTTCGGTAACTGTGTTCTCGTTTTATTTAAATTACTGCCCTTATTCTTATCCCTTAAAAAAATTATTTAAGGGTTATCTTATTATCAAGAACTGGTCAATAACCAGAAATACTGATTTTCGTATATTGGCGTCTACTTAACTTTGGGTTTTATTTTTGACATATGTCAATTCAGACTTGGCTAATATCATAAGTTTCTGAATAATTATTAAATTAAATAAGTTAAATATCACTATCTTATATAAGGTATAATGAACTCATAAAATTGTATGTGACAGGTAGCTCAATTAAAGCTTGACGACGCCGGCAACTACACATGCGCTCTTGAGGCGCCTCTGCCCATGAAGACGACTACAAGAGTACACGTTTTACAAGGTAATCTATTGTCAACATTTTCAGTTGGGATTCACAAAAGAGTTATCTGACAAATAAATAAAAGTAGTTATTAAAATAACTTTTTAGTTTTATTGTTTAATTAGTTTATGGGATATTTATTGAGCGCTTTTAAAACTAGTCAGTATTATGCATGTTTTCCTGTAACTCAAATCGATATATATTAACTTATTGTTAATGACCCGACGCCTGACCACACCCACTGCAAATCATCTAAATGTCGGGTCATCGTTAACCAATTAAAGTGATATATTTAAATGTATTCTTTGTTTAATACCTTATTTTGTAAATAAGCTCCATGTGTCGCTCCCCTTTAACCATTACTTGGTGAGTAAACTCGGAGCCATCTCAGTTTACACTCACTGAAGTAAACTTTCATAGATTACTACCC